GTCTAGAGTAACAATAAAATGTCTTAGAACCTTTTTATTCACCAAAAAGTGCCAATTTCGAACTACTGGTTTTGAACTAGTTTCGTAAACATTCGTTTTCTGTTATCTTGAACTAGCTTGTGGCGCCACCGCTTATCTGAAGTAGAAAAAGTACAGGCTCTCGCAAATTACGCACTTGTTTTCAATTACTCACCGACACAAATACAAGTTTACCAATTCTGCCATTAGGCATTATCGGCACACGATAAAATTTATTGCTGTTACGATGTGGTCAAATCCATTTGTGTATGCTATAACTGCATAAAATCTTAGTGTTTTTAATCTTGGTGTAATCAGTGATATTTCCACTGTCAGGTGAGACTATATTCAGCTATATTTAATAGTAAAGTAAAATTAAAGCTTTGGTAGTAAATACATTTTGTGTATATTTACCATATTTTTTTATTGAAACGTTCCAAGTGCCTGTGGGACCCAGCAAATGTGTTTTAGCATATGGGTTAAACTAATGCGTGGTGCGAAGCTAGACTTGGACCGTGACTACATCTTGCACTATCGAGTGCATGTTCATGATGTTGTTTATCAGGTTAATTGTTTGCAAGTTTTATACACAATGTAACACATCTAGACCCCGCCCCCCCCCCCTCATGGGTACGGATGCACCGCACCTGCATTCCAAATTTCTCCGGAAAAGGGGCACGTTTTGTCCAGCTATCTCCGGCCCGAGAATCCTTTAAAAAGGGTTACATTTAGCAGGTTTATCTGGAGAAACACAGAAAAGGGGGTATTTTATTCAACTGGCCTAGAGATATTTTTAAGAAGGGGTGTTTAAAACCAGCCCATAAGGAATTGATAATCCAGATGCAAAACTGAGGCTCAAAATGACTTTCGGAAATGATACCGATGGCTTGGGTGACTGCCCGCTAGTCCAAAGGCCCACTAGTCCGAAGGTTCACTAATCGATCCAAAGGCCCACTAGTCCGAAGGTTCACTAATCGATCCAAAGGCCCACTAGTCCGAAGGTTCACTAGTCCAAAGGACCACTAGTCCGAAGTCTCACTATAGTCCGAAACACTCACAGTGGATGTAGGGGGAGGTGTGTGGGGGGGGAGGTGTGTGGATGTGGCGAAATTGTAGACTACGGTGAAACCTCATTATACCACCCCTCGTAATACTGCCAATCTCACTTATCGCCAAGAAAATTCCAATGTACAGATAATTTGTATCTATTTGTACGTAATTTAGCCTCGTAATACCGCCCCTCGTTCACCATAAAACAACATAATTCACACAATTTGTACATTTTTGGCTCTAGAAAATTTTATTTGTTCAGTTTTCTGAAAATACACAGCAGCGTTCTAACCAGTGACAGTGTATGTGCATGGCCATCTGCAGCATGATGTTTATGACATTTATCGTTCCACTTTCCTGCAGCCTGCTACCAACCATGACGTGGCGCCATTAATCATCATACAATTTGCTAAATAATATCAGTGAAAATGTTAGTTTTCCATTGGGACTAGTGAGCCTTTAGACTAGTGAGCCTTCGGACTAGTGAACCTCCGGACCAGTGACCCTTCGGACTGACGAGCTGTAACCGATGGCTTGGTGCATTTAAATAAATCCTGAGATAAGGGGGTGTATTCTTGAAAAGACCTGAGATAAGGGAGTGTATTATTGAAGAGTCCAGAGATAGGGGGTGTATTTCTACCGAGTCTTGAGATAGGGGGTATAAAAAGACACAAAAAGCCCGCGCAAAGGGGGGTAAAAAATACAGAGTGGCTATATGCCCAGCAGCCGGCATATATATCTGACGGCTGCCGGGCACGGTCTTTGATTTTCTAAATGCCCGGCAGTTTATAATTTTCAGCGTTATCTCAAGTAAACAAGGGTTAGGGTTAGAGTTAGGGTTAGAGTTAGGAACTGCCAGGCATTTAGGAAATCGAAGACCGTGCCCGGCTGCCAGGCATATTGCCGTGCAGCGTAAAAAATATGGTCCTTCCTGTCCCTGAGATAGGAGGTGTTTTTGAAATCAGGGAAAAAGCCACAGGCACTCGCGGCTAGCTGGTCGGGGTTCGATAAATAGCAACCACGTTCTGCGCCTACCGTAGCGTGTATAAGAGTATATATGAGAGAAGGTATGAAACTAAATTTACCGGAAGTTTGCAGGCGACTTAGAACATGTGTCTTTATAGCTAAATTCCAATAAAAACTGTCACATCACTTACGTATCTCGATCGGGGGAGTCTTATTTATTCCATTGCTGGTTACATTGTGCCATGACGAAGCTGTAGAAGTACAATTTGAAGAAAAAATATGTGCGACAAGCGTGAACCTAACCAACTGCGCAACGGAAGTCGAATCTATGCGTTTGAAAAACGCAATCTGATTGGTGTGTTCACACTGGCAGTCTGCTAACGTGTTTTAAACAAAACGACCATACAGCCATATAAACCCATCGACCAATCAGATTGCGTCCTTCAAAAGCATAGGGTCGACTTCCGTTGCGCAGTTGGTTAGGTTCACGCTTGTCGCACACATTTTCTCTACAAATTATACTTCTACAGCTTCGTCACGGCACAATGTAACCAGCAATGGAATAAATAAGGCTCCCCCGATCGAGGTACGTAAGTGATGTGACAGTTTTTATTGGAATTTAGCTACAGAGACACATGTTCTAAGTCGCCTGCAAACTTCCGGTAAATTTAGTTTCATACCTTCTCTCATATATACTCTTATACACACTATGGTAGGCGCAAAACGGGGTTGCTATTTATCGAACCCCGACCAGCCAGTCGCGAGTGCCTGTGGAACAAGCGTAGCTAGGCATCCACCTAATATGCTTGAGTGGGGGAAGCTGGGATCGAGACTAACGTACATATTGATTTTGTGCAAAGTGTTGCTCATAGTCATAGGGTCTATGTCCCCCAGGGTACTGCCAGAATGTACCCTGGTAACTATCTGATATGGTTAGGGTTAGGGAGTAGGCGTAGGCGACTCCCTAGACTCGTTAGTGAAGTAGGCGAGGTACGGTCCGGCATATTAGATAGTACCAGGGTAGGCCTACTGGACCACAGGCACTTGAAGCGTTTCATCTGTAAACACACGCCGCCGCCATTGCTGCTACGCTCACCGACACATAAATATATAGTCCATAAATTACACTATACACTATAGACTATATACACTAAATAACACTATACACTAACACAATACACATATACACTATATATTTATGTGTCAGTGAGCGTAGCAGCAATGGCGGCGGCGTGTTTACAGATGAAACGCTTCAAGTGCCTGTGTACCGGACCCGGGACCGTAACCAGGGCCAGGGTACCGTACGTTCAGGCAGTAACCTGGGGGACATAGACCCTCTCAGCCAAAGTGTTCATATCGCAGCCGTGTAACTCGGTACCAGGACAGATAGCACATGTTTACAGGTCACACGTGTTGATTAATAAGAATCTTATTAAGATTGACCTAGCACAAAATCTTACTTTTGAGGGCGTTCATTAAGTGCAGGAGAGGTTTGTTGATTGTGCTCACGCGATTGTCGTTTTCTATCTCTTTAACACAAAGTATTATAGGCTCGATAGCTTCCACTGTCTGGGCTAGCTCTGCACGTCTCACTGGCTGTGTATGAAGCTCATTTGCCAGACTGATAACTTTAAAACTTGTGCTAATAATCGATGAAGCCGTTTCACAAACAGCTACGATAGTAGCCATTTTGGCGGAACACTTCAGTCGGGTACAGTTCTCTGTGTCGTATAATATAACGCTGCGTCAAACAACACAGTAAAGACCTTGGACCCATCTAAGATTAAAGCGAGATAACAAGCCGGACGCGTCTATTTTTACCGTACCGCAAATGCGTAAACATCCTACACGAGTTCCTCTGATTGGCTACTTTTTGCTTCTACGTTTCTACGTTTTACACGTTTTGCTTTCTATTTGCGAAATTATGGCGAAATGCGATTTGCGAGAATGAGGATGATGATGACAACACACAACAGTCAAACGCGCAAACCGCGTACAACTGTTGTGTGTTGCAGGGGCGTAGCACGGGGCGGTCGCCCCCCTAGAATTTTTAGGGCAAAGGTATTTTAGCCTAGTAGTAGGTATAGGTAAGTCTGCACTAGTAACCCTAGACTCCTAGTGAGGACATGTACATAGCACAGATTTGGTAATAAGTATTTTAGTTTTTGGTGTCCCCAAAGGTAAAAATACTCAACTCAACAGTGATGTTATTGTGATGAAGATTGTTTAATAGTGCTGTCTCAATATACTGCAGGAATAGTGCTGGAATATGCAGTGCAGGATATATAGTCAGTCATAGAATCATAGTCAGTCATGGAATATATAGTGCAGGATATACTGCAGGAATACTGCTTAATAGTGCAGGAAATTGCATCGAAGAGGTGTTACTTTCAACAAAATCCCCGGACCACCCCCCCCCCACCTTAAACAGAAGGGGGGACACGCCCTGAAGGAGGAAAAATCCTGATATTCTATGATAAAGATGTCCAAAATTGATTGCTTTTAGATTGCAACTTTTTAACGATTCCACACAGTGGGAGGGGGACACCCCTCCAACACTCTCCCCCCTCGGGCGCTTCGTGCCCTTGAGCTCGCATGATTCCCCCCTCTAGAATTCACTTCTGGACCCACCACTGGTTGTGTGTGTGTGGGGGGGGGTGCGTGTTATTAAAAACCGCTGGGATCAAAAGAAGAAAATATTTTTTTTCAATTCCCTCAAAAACGGCCATCTTGAAGGTTCTAATTTGCTAAAATCCAAGAGCTTTTAATCCAAGCGCCCTAGGGCGGGCCCCTGGACCCCACCCGCTAGGGGCTTCGATCGCGCCAAGGCGCTCGCGGTGTGCGCTCCTCGCACACACTCTTCGTATACTTTGCGTGGAAGTAAAGTAACAGCGAAATCATCCTCCCCACAACTGAGGAGTGCCTGCCTACCTACGCCACTGCCTGGCAGTCATTAGAGAACGGCCTTACCTGCTGTCAAATGCGTATCATTTATATTTAGAATGTCGCATCACCTGTCATATTGGTATTAACTACATTTATTATGTCGTATCACCTGTCCAGCACGTATCAACTACATTTAGAGTGCGTGACGCAGATTTCCCAGCGAGATCACGGCTTCGCGCATCACAGCACTAAGCTAAGTAATTAAACAGATCATATAACTGCAGGATCGAATCCCCTAGTAGACATTTCCAAAGAGAATAAACAAACACGGCAGCAACATGTTGACTCTCTTTCTCAGCAGGGATAGTAGCGAGCATTCTCTTCCTCCACGAAAGATAGGTGGTTGGAAATTTGGCCATGAGTACGTATATTTTAATCTTACTGTGCAAACAACCATTAATGAGAAGACACTCATATGCATATAATAAAATACGAACTCATAGATTTATGAAGAGCATTCAATATAGCATAAATGTTTATAGCTTTCACAATTTCTATGATATGATACTTAATTTCTTATGATTGCAACTGGATAATTTTCGGCAATCTGATTTTTTATCACTCATACATTAATGACATTCCTTAATTTACTAATTTTAAACTATTATTATTGTCGTTATTATGTCGTAATTACTCCAAACTATCTGAATATAATGACCTTTCTGTTTCTCTCAACCCCTCTTTCGTTTTCATTTTTACGCCCTCTCTCTCTTTCTCTCTCCCACTTTTTCCTACCCACGTCTCTCTCATTCTTCCCTCTCTCTCTCCCTCTCTATGTGTGTCTCTACCTAAATCTTTTCTCCCCTCTCACTCTTTCCGCCCGTCCGTCCATCCCTCCCTCCATCCCCTCCTCCCCCTCCCTCCCTTTCGGGCTCGTCATTTTTCTACCCACTCTCTCTCCCTCTCTCTAGCTTTCTGCTTTATGACAGTCCTTTTCATCTTTCATTTTTTTCATTTTTTTTCTTTTTTCTACGTCGCCTTGAAAATGTTCAACACTGTAAACTCTACTACTAGTTTTAACTCACTATATCTAATATATATATTTGTTATAGTGAGTTAAAAATCATGGGTGAAAAATGACAAATATTCGACAAAATAATGAAAAAAAAATTATGACAAATATATGCCTCATCAACATTTGTATCTACCTAATATCTATCTATCTATCTATCTATCTATCTATCTATCTATCTATCTATCTATCTATCTATCTATCTATCTATCTATCTATCTATCTATCTATCTATCTATCTATCTATCTATCTATCTATCTATCTATCTATCTATCTATCTATCTATCTATCTATCTATCTATCTATCTATCTATCTATCTATCTATCTATCTATCTATCTATATATCTATCTATCTATCTATCTATATCTATCTATCTATCTCTCTCTTTTCCTATCTATCTATCTATATATATAATATATATCTATCTATCTAGATATCTATCTTTCTAACTTTTTATTGTTGCTAATTTTGTTAATTTCTCTGAACCACAACCGCCTTGTCTGACCATAATATGGTCTGACGTTAATAGACACTGCTCAGTGGCGCCCCCTTCAAGGTGTTCCCAGGGCACGTGCAATACCTGCCATACCTTAGCCTTAGCGTTACGCCGCTGCATCAATAATTATGTATTAATGTCATTTATGTGAAATATATCAAAAATTCTCATTTTTAAATTAGTATTTAATCACGGTGTTAAAATATTATTGATATTCAAGATAGCTGGAAGTTTTGCTAGAATTTATCCTTGTTTTACTTTGACCGAATACTTCTGGCGCCACAATCAGGAATGCAGCGTTTGTTTCGCACGTCCATCGGAATCTTGTAAGTTATATTATTTCTATATTATGTCTACAGTTGTAGGAGATACAATAACTACTATTGTGGGGTTACATTATTGTATTTACAGGTGTAGCGACTTAAATAAACGTGATTAAAGAGGAGAATACTGCATGACAAGTGTTTTTTAATGTAGGTAAGATGTTAATAAAGCGACAGCTTTAGCCTTTAGTTTAGGTATTTCTTAGCCACAAGTTCCGGTTCAAGGATAGAGAACATGTAGCCCATTCAAACCTATGGCATTTTCTTAAATGTGGGGGTAGCCCCTTTAAACTCAACAGGGGTACTGGTGAGGGTGTTCTTTGTTCATTTCAACCGCTAAACATGATGTGAGTTAACAGGAAGTGTCGAAAAAAATGCGTTGAAGCGAGCCTACTCGCCCGTTTTCGGCCGTTTTCGGGCCTTTTATTGGGCTACATGTTCTCTATCCTTGAGCCCAAGTTCCCATCTAGCTTAACACTACGTGGCCGTGTAACTAGTCGGAGAGCCTGGTCGGTTTAGGTATTTCTTTGATTTTCTATGTACCAGGGCCGTAAATAGTGAAAAGGTTGTCGTGCAAAATGCACGACAAAATTCACAGGTTTGGTCTGTGGAACTGGAACTTGGAAGGTTATTGGGCCCTAAAATAACATCAGAATATAACACTGTTTAGGGCACAATTTATTGGTCTATACGTATTTCTGTTGCATTTATAGAATTTACGTAATTAGAATAAGCCCCGCCTTCTTCGTTGATGGGCACAGGGTACTCCCTACGGTGCGCAAACGGGGCGTGCGCGCCCCGTTTGGGAAGACTCCCCCCTGTTTCAATCGTTGCGCCCCGTTTAAAATACCTCCGCCCCGATTAAATTCCACCACAATAAAAGTTTGCCAGCGCGGGAATCGATCGTCAAGAAGTACAATTCGACCAGGATACCCGGCGCGTGTATTTTTACAGTACCACGCATGCACTGCAGACAATACAACAGTCAACCTGTCCCACACCCAACCAGTGAAAAAATTAATTTTTT